GTGACGTAATGACGCAGCGGCATGCTCGAATTTCCCGCAAAAACCTACCCGTACCACTCAAATTAGAAAACATTATTATAAGATAACAGTTGTGAATCGGGCTAAAGTAAGGTGATAGTTTTGAACACTGGCTGGTTATGTACTTGCTCAAATATTGATTTTGGATCATTTTTAAGCAAAAAAATTTACGGACTGCAGCTTTAACTGATTTTTTTTAATCCGGCCCTTGCAAAGCCTGTCATCTTTTTTGTAAAGAAAAAACAGATTTTCTTAAGAAAATATTTGAGAAATTAAGATTTTTTTTCAAATTTGTACTTAGGAACATTCTTACAAACTTCTTGGAATTTATTTTTAGAAATTTCTTAATTTCATTTTTCTGAATTTTTTCGTTTATCTGGCCCCTGCTCTGATTTCCATTTCATAAATGTATGAAAACACTAATTTGAAGACCTCATTAAGTGTATATTATATTATTATGAAAGGAATCTGAATGCATCAGCTGTTTTTAAACTCTTTACCCATATTTACAATGGTTACATGAGTGTGATAGAAAATCATTATTATTTAACATCATTAACAAAAGCTTCTACGTCTTCTACATTTAGACCTTTATAAAATGCATTACTCTTCGTTTTTGCAGCCTCACACCGTATAATAGTCAACACGGGTGACTAAAGAGTTTTAACGTCCTCAGTGACAACTAATCAGTGTTTTCATCTCTGTTTTCTTGATTCGCTCTAGCAAGTTTCCTCCAATTATTTTTGGACATATTGCTTAAAATTTATTTTTGATTATACTGCTTCAGACAATTTAGAGAAAGAATTAATTTACGCCTCCAAAGCATAGCCTACTTCTGCAACCGTGACGGTGTATTTAAACTTACCATTCTCATGGAAACCAAATCATACAGGAAAAGCAGCTATTTATGCAAGTTTTTCCACATTTTGTCCCCCTCCCTTTGTGCTGCTCAGACTGCCTATTGCATCTTTCCACACCATTTACTGCATAATTAGCGCCTGTTTGAATAATGGATTTGAGTGTTGACCTCAAACGGGACATAAGCACTATGCTGATTTTCACGTGCTGTCCTGTCCACATAGTGATTGTCCCGTGGTGATTGAAGTGGGCAAAACAAACTTCAGCACTACCCCCTGTAAATTTTACTTATGGTTTCCTTAATGTTGGTGTGTTGCATTCACAAACATCAGCATGAACACAAAGAAATCATTCATTCTTTTTTTAAACCAATATTTGTGAGAAACTTTTATAATACTGCGTATGCAATTCAAACCAACAAAGCAACCATATATACTTAGCATCACTATAAATTGTTTCTATTGATGCTAAAGTCTTTAGACTTTGGATTTAAAGGGATTGTTCACCCAAAAATGAAAATTCTGACACAAAAGAAGATATTATAAAGAATGTTGGTAACCAAACGGTCGATGGTCTCCAGTATTGGGGGAAAAAAATTCTATGGAAGTCAATGGCTACCAGCAACTGTTTGGTTACCAAATTTCTCCAAAATATCTTTTTTGTGTGTTCAACAGATAAAAGACACTTATACAGGTTTGACACAACTCAAGGGTGATGACAGATTAAATGATGACAGATTATTCATTTTTGGGGTGAACTATCGCTTAAGGATAAATTGAACAGAACTGTGTACATGAAGCTGCCAAGTCTTTATACAACCCAAAGCATGCATTGATTGGGTGTATAACCTATGCAATGGAAGTTTCCTCCCTAAGTGCACCTGGTCTTATTAAACGACTTTCATTATGCCAGATTTCACTCTATGAAATGTGGTCTCTCGTATTGTTAAATTTACCATTGATGTCTTTATGAAAATACATGGCCAAGCAGTTCAATCTTCTTCAAAATGTCCGACTCATCTTAAGTGCATAAAATGATTTGTTGGCCACAGAGGAGTTTCACAGAATTCCAACTGATGCAGGACACCTTGCTTAACATCAAAACTGACAAGGAACCTGATCCATGAAACTATCATACTATCATTTTTATCAGAATAGAATTTTGGCCATTTTCTTCTGCCAGTGTAACGGCATTTGCTCATGAAGTTGCATAGCAATGCATATATTTGTTTTATATATTATTTTCGTTGCACCATTCTCTTGGAAAAGAGGCTATGCAGGAAAATTGGCTATTTATGCAAGTTTTTCCACATTTTGTCTCCCTCCCCTTTGTGTTGCTCACACTGCCTACGGTCATATTGCATCTTTCCACATCATTTAGTGCATAATTAGCGCCCGTTTGAATAATGGATTTGAGTTTTGACCTCTAATGGCATATAAGCTTGATGCCGATTTTCATGCGCTATCCTCCCCACATAACACGGTCATTGGAGTGAGCAAAGCAGTCTTAAATAGGATTCTAAAAATGTTAAATTGCTCATTGCGTTCCACATCTTTCAACAGGAAGCACCTGCCTCACTTTATTTAAACCAAATGTAATAATTAAACAGAGGAAATTACAGTGAAATACTGTAACTTCAGACTATTAAATGTTTATCAGTTGTATTAACTAGTATTTTTCAGTTCTTACGTTGAAAATTAGTATGACACTGTAACCTTTTTGTATAATTCACTCTCATTCTCTTTGTTTTGTCTGTTCTCTCCAGGGATCCATATATGCCCTCTCCATAAATGGTCTCATCAGTTTCTCCACGGGGTGTTTGCTCATTCTCATCATCGCCTTCCATTATAAAGACATCGGAGTGAGTGTTTTTGTCCAATCTGAATCCATTGAATTGCCTCTTTTTAATGTCTGAAGAAAGTACTCTTAAAGGTACAGTTCACCCAAAAATGACAATTCTGTCATCATTTACTCACTCTCGTGTCGTTCCAAAATTGTATGACTTTATTTCTTCTGTGTAACACAAACGAAGATATTTTTGCCCATACAATGAAAGTTGACTTTCATTGTATAGACATAAACAGTTGAAACATTCTTTCAAATATTTCGCTAGTAAAACAATCTCGGAATTAACATTTTTTTAGTGAACTATCCCTTTAAGAAATTCTTGAAGGCGTTTAAAATGATTTGGTAAAATTGTTAGTTTCGTTTCTTCTAGTTTTTTTCTGTTGAAATGTCATACTAATTAGAATGGAATGCCACTTGTTGTCATCTGTGTTGAAAACTACAAAAGAAAACAAATACAAGGACACATTGACATGTGTGATGTCATGTCCTTATGAGAGGCGTTAAAGGCGTTAAATAGTGTAACCCAATACATTGGAAGATTCCTACCCTTAACCATTACTAACTCAACTTCTTTAGTCATTTATACTGGAAAATACTAACTGTAATTACAAACTGTAATGTATGTTGCTTTGGGTTAAGCAAGAAAGAATAATTAGTAAAAAGAAAATTGAATGAGGCCAGTGAAAGAAACCTGACTAAATTTTAACAGCATCAAATTCAGAAAACGTTTCATAGCAGGGGATCTACAAGTGCAGTATAGAGATAAGGCAAAAGTGTGAGGAGCAGATGGGGCTTATCTGAACTCCTCACACAGAGTCAGCAATATGGGGCTAAAGGGACCTCAAGTAAAAAAAAATGTCAGTCAGTTACACTTCACTTTAGTGTGGAATTTTTATGAGGTCTGTAAAGAGGAGAAAATACTGTATCAGGCAGATCAAGCTCACTGTTCGCTATGCTCAAAATCTAGGAAGACTAATATGTGGGGGTTTATATGAATGTATCTCTGAGAGGAGCTGACCGTCTTCAGAAATGTTTCAATGGCATTTTCTTTTCATCTTACCGCCATATAATGCATATTAAAGTAGTGTTTATAAGCACAGCTGCTTTGTTTACAGCGGAAACCAAGGAAACGCTGTATCACTGCTGTTCCATAAGCGCCACCTGCTTTCAGAGAATAAATCTGCATTTTCATTCAGTCCGTCTGCTGTTTTTGTTTTGTGCAGGTGTCTTATGTAGTATAATATCACAAATCTAAAGTCAGACCATTCTGTTTTTGCTTTGAATCTTGAAATTATACAATCTAATTCAAATCAAAAACAACTGCTCATGCTACATGTATGTAGCACTACTGTCTTTTCAAAATAAATGAAAAAAAAAAAAATGTCCTGTTGTACCAAACTTGTATCGAACCGTGACCTCAAAACCGAGGTACATACCGAACCGTGATTTCTGAGTACCGTTACACCACTAATATATATTTATATGTATGTGTGTGTCATGTAAATGTCTATCTTCTAAAATCTGGTGTACTTTGAGAAAGCATGACATTTGGCCAAAATCCCTCACCAGTCTTAAGTACCTCAGCACATGTCTGAATCGGCCCACTCTGCCAAGACATCACCTGCTTTTACACGGTCTCACATCTCTCTCAGTTCAGCCCAACCCCCACCCTATTCCCTGTGCCCGACGAAGCCTTAACTGTGTTCCCATGGGACTCATATTGCACCCCTCACTGTAAGGCCTCATTCAAGGGACAAAATCTCTGACTGTCTCTGGATTAATAGATTAACTCCTATCGAAGTAAATAAATGTAAGATTTCATATGGGCTGATATATTCAGTGTTTACACTATACTCCAGATTAAGGGCAATGTGTTTGCAAGTAGTCTTGCGTTGATTAAGGTCACTTTTGAGTATTAGTTGTTTCAGTTGTGATTCCTATCAAAGCAGGAACTTGTGCAACCACATGTTGCACACGTAATGTTATCAGTAGTGTACAACAGGGCAAAAAGCCTCCTTTCAGGAAAAGTTTTTTTTAATGAAGTGTTTATGAAGCAACATCATTTGTTTACACAGAAGTAAGAGAATTTGTATTAATAATTAGTTCATTTATAAGTTCATGCATTTCCTGGGAATCAAAGCCATGATCTTATTGTAGTTATAGTGCCATGCTCTGTTCTAATGCTTGAGCTACAGGAACACTTTCTAAAAGTTAATGTATTCTAACTTTAACACATATTGATCAGTGTCTTTATAAACACTGTATACACATATACACACAGTTTGTTTCACTTATTTGCTTTAACAAGCAAATGAATGCATTATAAAGACCATTTCCACCAGTGCAAGTGCATTTCTAAGAAGAAAAGTCTGAATTGTAAGATATAAATTCGCAATTACAAGAAAAATATCAGAAAAGTCGCAATAACATTTTTCTTTTTTATCCTTTCTTTTTTCTTTAATCACGATTGTATATATTAATATATTGACAACTCTAATATTTTTATTTTTAATGTTTTTTGTTTTATGAGTTTAATGAAGCAAAAGCAAAACCTTACTAACACTACTACAAATACATTTCTGTTGTGATTAGATTATAGTATGGTATGGTTATGTTACAGTTTATAAATTAGAGTATTTGGAGCAGTTTAAGTATTATGAATTTTCCTCTCTAAACCATGTCTTTTTTTTGCCACAGTATTGGTCTATTCATTTAAAATGCTTAAATGTTTGATCAAAGTACCTAGAATTCCATGTCTTGACATCGCAGCGAATGACCTCATGGATGAGGAAAAGTTTGCAGTGCAGAGTGACAAATGTTTTCAGATTATGCAGCAGCTGGAAATGGTACAATAAGTGTAGCAGGAAAATGTAAGCAACGATCACAATTACAACCGAGTTCTGCTCCATGTACTTTTCAAGCCGTCTGTTGTAATCCAAGACGACTGTTGATTTATATCTCTAAGTCATGTTTAATATTTTTGTGTCATGTAATTAATGAGCCATTCATTTGTGATTTATGGTTTCGAGTAGTTTCACTGACACACTTGTCCTTCACAAGCAAAACAGTTTACAGCTGGACGTCCTATCAGGGAGGGCAGGTCTGTGTTTGTTTTGGACCCGTTCTTACAGTCAATCAAGAACGTCTTGCACACTCTCTCGTCTCTGCCAAAACAAGAATGGTGAGTTCAGATGGCATGCCGGCTATAAAATCGTTTAGTTTTATTAGTTTTATTTTGGCCGATCTCTATTCCAGAATTGCACACAAACTGCATTGCAATCATTGTAATTTGTGAAAATACTGTATCGGGCAGATCTGTTCGCGATGCTCAAAATATAGGAAGACAAATATGTGGGGGTTTATATGAATGTATTTCTGAGAGGAGCTGACCATCTCCAGAAATGTTTCAATGGCATTTTTTCCCCTCTTACCGCCATATAATGCATATTAAAGTAGTGTTTATAAGCACAGCTGCTTTGTTTACAGCGGAAACCAAGGAAACGCTGTATCACTGCTGTTCCATAAGCGCCACCTGCTTTCAGAGAATAAATCTGCATTTTCATTCAGTCCGTCTGCTGTTTTTGTTTTGTGCAGGTGTCTTATGTAGTATAATATCACAAATCTAAAGTCAGACCATTCTGTTTTTGCTTTGAATCTTGAAATTATACAATCTAATTCAAATCAAAAACAACTGCTCATGCTACATGTATGTAGCACTACTGTCTTTTCAAAATAAATGAAAAAAAAAAAAATGTCCTGTTGTACCAAACTTGTATCGAACCGTGACCTCAAAACCGAGGTACATACCGAACCGTGATTTCTGAGTACCGTTACACCACTAATATATATTTATATGTATGTGTGTGTCATGTAAATGTCTATCTTCTAAAATCTGGTGTACTTTGAGAAAGCATGACATTTGGCCAAAATCCCTCACCAGTCTTAAGTACCTCAGCACATGTCTGAATCGGCCCACTCTGCCAAGACATCACCTGCTTTTACACGGTCTCACATCTCTCTCAGTTCAGCCCAACCCCCACCCTATTCCCTGTGCCCGACGAAGCCTTAACTGTGTTCCCATGGGACTCATATTGCACCCCTCACTGTAAGGCCTCATTCAAGGGACAAAATCTCTGACTGTCTCTGGATTAATAGATTAACTCCTATCGAAGTAAATAAATGTAAGATTTCATATGGGCTGATATATTCAGTGTTTACACTATACTCCAGATTAAGGGCAATGTGTTTGCAAGTAGTCTTGCGTTGATTAAGGTCACTTTTGAGTATTAGTTGTTTCAGTTGTGATTCCTATCAAAGCAGGAACTTGTGCAACCACATGTTGCACACGTAATGTTATCAGTAGTGTACAACAGGGCAAAAAGCCTCCTTTCAGGAAAAGTTTTTTTTAATGAAGTGTTTATGAAGCAACATCATTTGTTTACACAGAAGTAAGAGAATTTGTATTAATAATTAGTTCATTTATAAGTTCATGCATTTCCTGGGAATCAAAGCCATGATCTTATTGTAGTTATAGTGCCATGCTCTGTTCTAATGCTTGAGCTACAGGAACACTTTCTAAAAGTTAATGTATTCTAACTTTAACACATATTGATCAGTGTCTTTATAAACACTGTATACACATATACACACAGTTTGTTTCACTTATTTGCTTTAACAAGCAAATGAATGCATTATAAAGACCATTTCCACCAGTGCAAGTGCATTTCTAAGAAGAAAAGTCTGAATTGTAAGATATAAATTCGCAATTACAAGAAAAATATCAGAAAAGTCGCAATAACATTTTTCTTTTTTATCCTTTCTTTTTTCTTTAATCACGATTGTATATATTAATATATTGACAACTCTAATATTTTTATTTTTAATGTTTTTTGTTTTATGAGTTTAATGAAGCAAAAGCAAAACCTTACTAACACTACTACAAATACATTTCTGTTGTGATTAGATTATAGTATGGTATGGTTATGTTACAGTTTATAAATTAGAGTATTTGGAGCAGTTTAAGTATTATGAATTTTCCTCTCTAAACCATGTCTTTTTTTTGCCACAGTATTGGTCTATTCATTTAAAATGCTTAAATGTTTGATCAAAGTACCTAGAATTCCATGTCTTGACATCGCAGCGAATGACCTCATGGATGAGGAAAAGTTTGCAGTGCAGAGTGACAAATGTTTTCAGATTATGCAGCAGCTGGAAATGGTACAATAAGTGTAGCAGGAAAATGTAAGCAACGATCACAATTACAACCGAGTTCTGCTCCATGTACTTTTCAAGCCGTCTGTTGTAATCCAAGACGACTGTTGATTTATATCTCTAAGTCATGTTTAATATTTTTGTGTCATGTAATTAATGAGCCATTCATTTGTGATTTATGGTTTCGAGTAGTTTCACTGACACACTTGTCCTTCACAAGCAAAACAGTTTACAGCTGGACGTCCTATCAGGGAGGGCAGGTCTGTGTTTGTTTTGGACCCGTTCTTACAGTCAATCAAGAACGTCTTGCACACTCTCTCGTCTCTGCCATACTTTGTTAATCATTGCTTCCTTATGAGATCAATCAAGTGATTCTCTTGTACACATCCTGCCTCTGTTTTTCTTTCCTTTCTTCAAGCTTTTCATCATTGACCACAACCAGGTGGACTGGCGCATTGCCATGACCAGTAACCGGGTGCTTGGCATCTCCCTGGAGCTCGTTGTCTGCGCTATCCATCCCGTGGCTATCTACCTGAGGCCCGATATGGAGGACAGACTCGGGGGGAAGCCGGAGCAAAATTCCTCCACCCCCCTCTGCTTGTCCTCCAGTCACAAAGAAGTCATGCTGGATGTGGAGCTGCTGCTGTCGGCCCTCATGTTCCTCAGACTGTATCTCGTGCACAGAGCCGTCCTGCTACACAGCAAGGTGCTCCTCAGCGCCTCGTACAGGAGCATCGGCTCCCTCAACAACATCAACTTCAGCTTCCGCTTTGTGCTCAAGGTGCTAATGAACAAGTATCCAGCCCGCACGCTGCTGGTCTTCATTATGTTCTTCTGGCTCTCCGCAGCTTGGATGCTGCGACTGTGTGAAAGGTACAGAACGTGCAATTATTTGTAGAAAAACACAAACACTTATGCAACAGTATTTATTATGCTTTTTCCATTCGCTCATTAGAAACAGCTCATCAAGTTCATGCTTCTTCTGATGTTGATGGTCAATTTGAGTTTCTTACCAATAGATTTATTTCAGGAACAAACAAATTGCTCTTCAGCACCAGCTCATTGCTTACTGTCAAATTTTGAACAATACATTCTAGTTTACTTGTCAAGGATGAGTCATTCATTAGCACTGTTGTCTTTTCTGCAACAATTCGTTTGAAAGTTTCAATCAGTTTGAAGTTTTGCACAATACATGTCTTTCGTATATTTACATAGCTGCTCTCTGTCTCCACCTATAGGCAGCAGCGGGTAGAGACAGGTGGCATGGACACCGCACTGTGGCTCATAGCCATCACCTTCCTCACAGTGGGATATGGAGATGTGTCCCCTCACACCAGCTGTGGCAAGGTGGTGTGTCTCTTCACAGGCGTCATGGTAAATATAACTCTTAACTAACTCTTAACTATTAGTCATGTTTCTATAGATCTGCTGCCGTTCTTTTACACAAGAGCAATTTGAGACAAATGCAATAAATTATGTAATTATCAACAAAATAATGAAATCGCTTTTGCTGTACTATGTACTTTGGTCTTTTTTAACAATTTTTTTTTTACAAAACGAAGTAAGACAAACACTCCTACTGTTTCACTAAACTCCATTTCTTTGGTTTAGTAAAGACATAAAATATGTTTAGCATTATCATATGACGTTGTAACTCATATGTATCATTTAGGTACTAAAATGTACACCTGAGATACTAATATGCACCTTTTAGTGGTAAATAAAGTACAAAGGTGTACCTTTTGTACCTTTTTTTCTGAGTGATATGCATTGGTAGTGCCTGACTATGACTGAAATAGTCGCAAATGCAATGAGAATTTTGCCTGATAACTCTGTGTGTGTGTGTGTGTGTGGTTTAGTCAGCTATATTGGTGTACAATATATGTATGCAATATATCATCACAACAACAAACTCAGTGTGAGCTGTGATGTCACAAGAAATGACTCTTATGCACGGTTCGTTTTAATAAGTGAGTCAAAAAGATTCACAAAACAGATTCAGACTCGCTCGTGAGCTGGTGCCTTAAATCAGAGTCACTTAGTCAGTGAATCGTTCAGAGTCATTACTGAGCTCACAACTGACTCCCTCATGAGTCCAGCTTTGTCCTGTTAGAAATGAACTGTAACTGTGCAGCATACTTTAGATGTACATTTTACTGATCACATGATAATGTGTAATTAAAGATACATATTCACAACATAGTTCAATCAATTAATAACAATCTTAGTAATTTGTCTCCTAAATGGCAGCCACCTGCACTGGTTTATCAGTGTCTGCAGTTGCTGCAGCTTCTGCTTCATCACATTTAAAGCATTGTGACTGAGTAATGAGATCCACGTCCATCTGGACACACTTTTTGTACAGTTACAGCTGTTCTTCCACCCTTCCTGACAGCGACATTGGACTCCAAAGGGATTTCAGTGATGCTGTGCTGGCAGGCTCACTGATGAAGGATGAAGATTATAATTTCTGTGGCATCACATGGCTCCTCAGTCACATGATTAATAAACAAGGTTGTCTGAACTAATAATAAAGTATCTATCAAATCATTTTTTGTTTGTCATACATTGTACACTGAAATCATATCTTTAAGGCATTGTGAACATATTTTTAAAATGCTTTAAATATGGACCCTCAGGCTTTGTGTGTGTGTGTGTGTGTGTCTGTGTCTGGGTGTATCTGAGCATAGAGTTCAGTAAGTGAAGAAGGGAGGGAATGATTTAGCAATATAATACACAGATTGTTTTGTCTGTAAACCAAGTACTTTGGTTACACCCGTACAAGATCATTTCAGACCGAATGATTAAAAATATAGTCGATACATATTAATTTCATGGCAAAAGTTCACAACAAGAAGCTTTATTAAACATTATTATTTAATATTTTATATTATTATATTTTATTATTATTATTATATTTTATTATTATTATTATTATTATTATTATATTTTATTATTATTTATTATTATTATTATTATTATATTTTAATGAAATATATTATAATATTATTATTATTATATTATATTATTATATGATTATATTTTAATGAAATATATTATTATATTATATTAATATAAATATTAAAATATATTAGTTCTTAGGGTCAAATGGTA